AGATGCAAAAAACAAGTTAAGTAGTTCTGCTTTCTCCCTGTTGCTTGTCACCTTCTTGTCACTTTCTCCCACTAATGGACCAATCATTTCTTGTTTTTTACATGTTGAAAGAAGCTTTTTTGTTATTTTTGACTTTTGTTGCAAGCCTTAGTTCATTTTCAGCTTTAGCTTTCCTTACTTCATCTTTGCAGGCTCAGGCTATTTGCTGATATTCTGCCTTAGTTATGTGCCCCTCTTTCCACTTTCTATACTTGTCCTTTTTGTCTTTCAGTGTATCAGCAGAACAGCAGAGATTAACTGCAAGGTTAACATCAGACCAGCAATCAAAACTGCCAAAGAAGCCAACAGCAAACAGCCAAACCAAAGAATCTCTAAGACCACCCCCACCAACACTGACAGGCAAGCCACTAAAATATAAACTGACAACAAACAGCACTCCTTACTAGCACTGATGATGTTACCTAGTTTGGGTAATGAAATGTCTGCAAGAAAACAAGCCAGCTCAGAGAGCAACAAGCACCAAGGACCCCTCACTGAAAAGGATCAGCGGACCAAGGGCTCCTGCATGTGAAAAACTGGCCAAGTGGCCTTAGTGCTCCTTGATCCACCAAGTACCAAGGACCTCACAGTTCAACCCTGAGCTGCAAATGTTCTTTTCCATGGGTGGCATTATTTGCAGGCTGACTTACTTCGGCTCTTGATCAGTCATATCGGAAGATTCCAGGTCACTTGCAAAGTTCCCGTTTCAGTAGGTAAGACTATATAAAACACTGTATAAAAGAAAATGCAATTTTATTTATTTATTGGATTTTTATGCCATTCATCTACCCTACAAGGTGACTCCCAGTCAAAAATAGTTAAAAGATTAAAATATTAAAACAACACACATATAAAATATTATTAAGAACTATACTAAAATCGAATTAAGAGAGCCAGACAGGATGAGGATGCTCACATACTGTGAGCCAGATGTTTACACTGGATTTGGCATTTTTGTCCACCAATCAAGTCCTTCTCAAGGATTTGGGAGAGGCAGATGTTGTATTAAAGATATTGTTGCAGGATGTGAGCTGTTCTGAGTAAAGCTGTCTTTTGCAATTTACTGATGATGGTTTTGTCAATACTGATGGTGCTCAAATGGTACTCCAGATGTTTTGGGATTGCACCCAAAGTGGCCATTACTATTGGTATTACCCTTGCTTGCTTCTGCCACAGTCTTTCTAATTCTATTTGTAGGTCTTTGTATTTTGTTATCTTCTTCAGTTCTTCCTCTTCTGCTCTCTCCAGGTACTTCCCCATCCACTAACCAGATATTTGTCTTTCTTATCGATAATTGTTATGTCTGAAGTGCCATGTGTCAGGCACCGTCTATTTGAATTCTAAAATCCCAAAGCACCTTAGTGTCACGGCTGAAGCTTGGCTTGTTCTGGCTGTTCACAGCCAGAACAAGAAGCAAGGGTGGGGGAATGCAAAGGAGGGAATGAGAGAGCACTGACTTAAAGCCAGGATATACCAGGGTACCAAGGTCACCTGCTGGGAAAGTCCACTAGTCAGAGAGTCTGTTCCCAAAACAAAATGAACATAATTGATTGGAGGGAATAAAGTGACAATGGGAGGGCCAGGGAAAAGGAGAATGTTTAACTATGCTATTTGCATGCAAATAGGTTAGAATTGGCTTTGCTAATTCCGTATCCATGTCAGCTCAGTAAATTGTACTCTTGGCAACAGAAAAATGTCTCAGGAGTCTTTGTTTGCTATATGAACTGCGTGGGATACTTGACATTTGGCTTCTTCTTTTTTTTACTTTGTCTATTGTAAGGTTTTCCACTTAGCCTCACAACTGCCCCAGCATTACTCAGGAATTTAAAAGAGCCAAAGAAACTCCTGAGTCGAGGTTTCAGCAAGTAAACAACGTTTATTTTGATCAAAATAGAGTTGGGTGACCCCCATCTCTCTTCGTGGCTGGTAGAGAGATGAAGGCAACAACCAGAAAAGATGTCTTCCACCTTTTATACCTTTTCAGAACAAAAAGATCAGGTCTTGGTACTAGGCATAAGATGGCACAAAAAAATAATTCCTAGATGATGACTCATACACAACAACCCAGGCTCCATCCATAGCTCCTTTCCCCCCCTCCCCTTACTGTGCTCTTTTCATATAAGCAATCACCTATATCTAAAGCATGAAGCCCTTACTTTTCCAATATATATATAAAGCATCTGATCAAGCAATTAACTACAAAATAATGATTACAAAATAACAAAACAATGATTACATGATAACACTATAAGTATCAATATAAAATGGTTACTATATGTAAAATAAATGCTAATGTCAAACTTAAACATACTAAAATCATAAGCACAATAAAATC